TCCCTTCTACTACCGATATACATTACCTTCAACTTCTTTACCATATAATTCCTTACTCTTCCCGTTACTTTTATTTATACTTTTCTCCTTTCTTTTCTTCATATACCCAAGCTTCTTCATTCTCCAACTTCACACATTCCCAATCATTCTTCCCATTCCCCACTCAAATTCATATTTATTCCTGTCAGGAGTACAACCTACCTTTTAATCTCCCTCTATTCTTTCTACTTACTTCTTATAACAAACCATCGCTCCAATTCCATTCTTTACTTTTCCTCTCCCTAAGCCATCTCAATCTTCTCAATCTTCTCAATCTTTATTCCACCATCAAACATATATATCCTCGAAATCGCTATTTCTACGATTTATTTTACGTGGTAGGAACACAGATATGTATTAATACGGACGTTAGGTGTAACTTTATTGTATGTTACAAAAATCTAAAGCAAACCAACATATATTCGTGAAACGAATTTACATGAACTCGTCATATTTCAATTTTACTCGCAATATTTCCATAACCAAGTTATCGAGTGTGAAAATACGTATTGGTAATTTTCAAGTATACAACGTACAATTTTACGTGGTTTAGATGCAAAGGTTAATCCTCCACGAAACAGATGATACATTCTTTTGCTCCCTTTATGTTGCTTTATGCCTTTCATTTGCTTCTCTAACATCCATCAAACTTTTCGCTTTATCTTCTCTCTTATTCCTCCAATAAATCGCAAATTAATCAAAAAGCAATCTTTCCTCAAGGTTAATATAAATTCAAACCATATTATGTGTTTGCTAAATAACACCTTTATTTTATATCCGATAACGGTGTTTAAAGGAAATGAAAGTAGACGACTTATCTTGAATAGAAATGCAGTCTAAATCGTTAATTATATCTAAATCTTGAAATCTAACCATCTCGTATAAGCTTTTCATCTTTCGACATTTACAAATATCACAAACGAACGAGAGTACCTAACGAGTAATAATTATAGTAGAAAAGAATCAATGTTTGCCTCGCATTCCAGTCAGTTCTTTCCTTTCGTCAACGAGGTCCGTAATGTATGGAGAACTCATCGTTATATGATAATTCAATTATCTATCTCGTGTCACAGAATGCATGTAAATATTCTTTTACTTACACGTATCTTTCCCAACCGTCTCAACTTTGCTCTGTAAACGAATAAACATACGTAATTTAATATTCTTCCTATTATAGTTCCATAATTTCGTCCCAAATTAATGTTCCACGAAATTAATGTAAGTTTATTTATCGCTAACTTCCGAGCAACCATCGTTAAATAATAATACTCGCTAACTATTATGTACCACTTATTTGTAAACCTCTATCATGATTCCTGTATGTTGGAACGAATATCCTTAAGAAGCGTTAAAATTAATATCCTTCCAGTGCAGATATAGTTTGCCTAATGTAAAAGAAGAAATCAATATTTTATCCAGGCTGATTGAATATTATAAATTCAGGAACAAATTGCTATTGCGAAAAGAAATGGGAAAAAGAAAGGAAAAGAAAAGGAAAAGAAAGGAGAAGAAAGAAAATGAAAATGGCAGAGCATCCGAGTAATGGTAATGGTAACAGTAACGGATTTTGAAATAAGCGTGATGAAACATTCAACGTTTTCGAAGCAATTAGAATTTCTTTTCCTTTCTTTCTCTTCTCTCTGTTTTTATTCTTCCCGCGTATGTTAGAGCAAAGTGGAGTAAAAAAGAGTGGGGAGAAACGAAATAATGCCGTGTTGAATGAAATCGAATCAAGCCGAGTTGAGTTGCATCCCGTTGCGGTATTTAATGAACCTTGACGATGCCTCCGGTACCATAAGCACCCGTCAGCAAAGCTTGCGTACCATAAAGAGAACCTGGTCTTAGTCCAAGACCGACGCCAAGTCCTACCAGTCCCGTGTTCGCGGTGACTACGTTTGTAGCAGCTACCGTTGGCCCTGCTAACAACTGTTGTCTCAATAGGGGAGAGCCTAACAGGGCCGCCTACGGAATAGACATGACACGTTAATTTTATCGGAATCACTTGTTCCTAATATACGTAATATTTGTAATATACTCGATGTAAAAAAGAATATTACACAGTGCAGATGAAATGCGGACGAGGTAAATGTAAGATTAAGCATTACGAGTGACGAACCTGTGGACGAACGGCTACAGCGGGTGAGGCTGCAGCGATTACCGATGTTGGTCGTGCAAGCACAGGAGATGCGACAACGGGTCGCACGGCTGCCGGTCCCGCAGCGACCGCAGTCTTGACCGTGATGCTAGGGTCTTTCTGAACGACAGCGTTGAAACCGTTGATAGGATCGGCAGCATACGAGACCACTCGACGCGAACCATCTGGCTCTATCAAACTATAACTACCTTGAACAACGTCGCCGTTACGAGTTTCTTCCTGCGCTTTGTTGTCACCTTTAAATTTAGAGAATTAGGTTAGAATTATATTAATAAACCTCGTAATCAAGTGTCTTTTAAAATCTCCTTCCATATTCAGTTTACTCGCAACGAATTTCGGAAGGGTATAGGAGCAATTTTCTTTTTGTCTATTTTCTTATTGTTATTTCTTTCTTTCTTTTCTTTCCTTTTTCTTTCCTTTTCCTTCGATAATTATACCTATCGTTATACATGAATATTTCGGAAGAATAGTTCGATAAATTGAATAAGAAGAAAATGACGTACCCGTAAGACCATCGGCCACGCTGTAACTAAAACTGTATTGAGGATTCGGATCGTAATTTTCCGTTCTGACTACAGCAGCCGCAGCTGGTGGAAGTGCTGCTGCTACCGCGGTCCCAGCGGGGGCGATTAGTCCTGCGCTCTGTCCTATTATTCCTGCACGGCCTACAGTTAGAATAGCAGCCAAGTATCCAATAATCTGTATAGATTACAAAGAAGAAATTAATCAAACAGTGTATTTCTTTACATGGACATGTTCGTATTCCCTTGAAAAATAACGTTGCCCGTTTTTCGCTGCACTTTTACTTAAAACGCCTTCAAACTATACACACACACACACACACACACACACACGCACGCACGCACGCACGCACATATATGTACGCGCATGCACATGCATACGTGTGTCGATGAGACTTATTTAAAGAAAAATATCAGATTTATCGATCAAATTTATTGAAAAAGTAATACAAAGATAAGACAGAAATAAACAATTACTTTAAAATCCATGATGGCGGAAGAGGCAATGATGTTCCAATATCTGTGTAACAACTGCGTGCCGCTGCTTTTCGCCAGCGAGGATTTTATACCTATTGGCATCGGTTGACCCCGCCCTCGGCTTTTCTTCGATAGTACCTCTACCCCACTGCGCCAAACTTACGTTCGCATAAATATACATATGTCATATCGATTGTGGGGACTTTGGTGAATGTAATGGATCTCGTTAACTTTATCCGAAACAAAATCATTCCTGACGTCCGAATTTTCTTCATATTTTCTTCATAATATCTTCATAATTTCTTAATAATATCTTAATGAAACTGTTAACAAATATTTACCAATTCATCCAATATTTCTCCTTTTACATTTCATCCATATTCCATTGTATTGTCGCATTTCATCGGCGCATTTCATCGTCGCATTGCATCGTCGCATTGCATTGTCGCATTGCATGTTGAAACTTGTACAAATTAGCCTAACAAACTAACATTTGCAATAACGTTCGCAGTAACAAACGTTTCTATCGTTATTGTCTGTAATAAAGTTAGTAATTCTAATAGTGCGCGTCTGAATAAGCATATATATGTATGATAACGTGTAGAGAATTGGAGGATATACCATATGAGAAAATGACATTCTTCTTGAGGAAAAAGATATTGACCTTCCACTACGTCTAATCGGGATTTATATTTTGCCAACTAAAATATCGCTAAAGTCCATACATATTATTAGGTCAACGGTGAATAACTCGTAACGCATTTAAATCGGTGCAATAACTTATGATTGAAAGATTTTATCGCAATGTCGTGATATTCGATATTAATCGAAGTGATATTGCGAAGAATTCGTTAAAAATCGGTGATGAATATAACCTGTGATAAAATATCGGATTATATCGTCCTAATTACGGTAAGACGGCAACTAGATTGCTAAGAAAGAAATATAATACTTTTGATATATGTGCGTATGTACTTTGTAAGCGCAAGATCACGGGTTAGCTGATAGGTACTAATGTAAGCCAATAATTGGTATCGTTGCGACATTGAGCTACGAAATCTTGGAGTCGTGGCAAGCGGTAATCGCAGTGGAGATGGATCACATTGACGGTGTACTGTTCGCGCGTTTCGTTCATGTGGGTCAGGTAATCCTAGGAGTGCTTCAAGGAGTCGCGTGACATCGAGCTCTCAATTTGCGTAACTGTATCGCATCTATCTCGATCTGATCTAATACATACAGGTGAACAGCCTGACGCTAGTTTGATACACGTTGCGACTCTCTATACATACTGTATAGAGAGTGTACATACGTACAGCCGTTACATATGGGATTGAACGATTGCAAGTAACGCGTTCCTTCGATTACCGACAGCTGTGTTCAAGAGCAATAAACTGCTGCTTGGTTATACAGGAGTAGGGGTCTTGTTTTGCGCGTATAAAAGAACACCAGCTACCTTGGACTATGCACATCATATGTGATACCATATACGAGAGTACTTGTCTCTCAACTTTTACACGTATCTATCTCTATCAAATCTATATCTGTCAAAATTAGTAAAATTATCATCTAGTATAAAAAGAATTTTATATATTTAACATAGGATACAATATCGTATACGTTGCGTTCATGCGACAATTCGCACATCGCAATTTGAACAAATTAAAAATACTATGCCAACATGTTCACTTTTTCTTTCTTCACAGATCAAATTTTTTAAACAAAATGGATCGCTATGTATAGCAATGAGACTTATCGTGCCCTGCGCGGTTTCGATGCTCCTATATACGTGTATATGTGATGCATCTATATGCGATAAACGGACATATATATGAATTAATATTACCAATATTACGAATGTAAGAAAGAAAGAAAGAAAGAAAGAAAGAAAGAAAGAAAGAAGGAAGGAAGGAAGGAAATAAAGAAAGCAGAAAGTCTAGAAAGCAAAGTTTCGCTAATCGTGATAGAATTGTAATAGAAAAAAGAATTTGTAAATCGTTTTTTCGTTGATTCGAAAGATGCGTGATTACGGATCAACGGCCATTCCGATTTATCCATTGTTTCCGACCAATGTTTTAACCAATCGATTGATCACGTTTTAATCTACGATTCCATTTCCCAAATAAATAGCTGCATGCAAAAATCCTCGATATCGTCCGTGGTGGTAAAATGGCTAATAACATTAGAATCGGTTGGATCATACGCAAAAATTTTAAAATCCATAAATCGGTGAGAGCAGCAGCAAGAGCGCTAGTGATCCATGGCGCGTCCATTAAGAGGTACAGTCTGAGAAAAAGAAAGTATCGTTTCTTGGCCGTGTTGATTTTTAAAGTACTACTATTCGCCGTTGCAAGCGTCGTCGACCTTTGTATCACGATCATTTTGTATGACGTATAGCAAAAAAGAATGCTGTTGGCGAGACACGTTAGGGCTGGAAACGTTGTTACATAAAGAATAACAGCCAAGTTTGCACCGTCCTTAAATCTTTTGAAATTCGGTCTGACGGGAGATGATTTTGGAAATAACGGCGACAATTCTGCAATGCCAGCTAAGGCTGTTGGTAGCAACGAACCTGCCCAAATCCAAGTAGCATAGGTTACAAATTTTCTTCTTTCTTCTTGTTGATTCGTATCGGTCGGTAATGTCCAACGAAATCGCGTGATCACCAGTGTCATGTCAATGCAAATAACGAAGAGCCAAAAGGTCGAAGATATAGTGAGAAACATGATTACCAAGCCCAGAATCACGTAAATGTTAGAATTAATGGACACGTGACACAAAACGCAGGTACCGAACGCAATTAATATTCCGTTCAAGATTATTTGCGTAGCGTTATAACATATCACGGCTCTGTTGTAAGCTCGCGTACCCACGCCTGGAACAGCGAAATAAATAAGTACAACTATTAGATATGGAATAATGTAAATAATATTGGCAAATATCACTATATTGGCACCCCAAAAATTCAACGAAGTGAACACGCTGTCACAATACGTTATTCTACTATTTTCGCGCGAATTAAAAATCTTGGTAGAATTAACATTGGTCACATGGTCGCTCTCGTTATTCTTCCACTC